TATGCGGAGCAACCGGTTTGACCGTTTATAAATGTAACAATTTCGGGTATAAATCCTGGCGGACCTGCAAATGTATATGCAGGCCTTGCAAGGCTTTCTCACGGCTCGCCTGAAAGCAGCATCAGATTACTAGGTCCGACCTTATTTAATAAACGAACAACAGTGGTCCGATCGGTTTGACCGTTTAAACGAAAACGGCCAAGGTGTAACTATAATTTGCACAACGACATTGAATGCCCGATACGCAATACGGAAATGACGACACGGTGTACATGCACATTTCGATCAAGATAATTGAGTCCGAGCTGTACTTTTTCCGGAAGTACGTCACGAAAATGGACGCTGATGACGATGTGTGGAGCCACCTTAAGAATTCATAACAATAATGAAGTATACTTTTGATTCAGATTAACCTAGACTTGTAGAGAAAGGTGGGGTGTGTTGTAACACACCGTCCCTATATGGAGTAGGGAACTGCTGGTATGGCTTTTAAAGGTGGAGGAAAATCACTAACGTGTTAAAGGCAGCGCCGAGATGTCAAATTAATGTTGTTAACAGTCTAAGGGAGATAACTCTCCAAAAATTCACTACACCCTCAATGTGATAGTTCACAGTACATTTACAATGTCATGATTTACAAATATATGAGAAGAACATTGGTAAAATTTCGATGTTTTAAACTTTGCGGGACGATTGAAAAAAATTAAGAAACATTGATACTTCGACTCAGTAATGTTGAACTAAGAACCTCTTTGAGATCCTACTTATATTGCATACGACCAAATGTGACGGAATACACGGCATGGAATTTAATTTGAAACCTATACACTTTAGGTTTTTTGCAATAAGAAAAATGTGTTTACATGTATAAATACACTGTAGTTTTTAGTCGGTGTTAAAAAGACCCTGAGACATTTCAATGTTCTCGTACAGTTCATGTTTTACTTGGAATTATTAGTTGTAATTTTCAATGTTTTCCTAACAATGCGACCTTGATTGTAGTTTGAAACAGCGGGAAAGTCTGATTCATAAATGGAATATCAGAAGTGTTATAGTGCTGTAGGAAAAAATCTGGACTCTGCAGTAAGGGGACACATTGGGAAATTCAAATCTTTGAAGATCAATTTAAAGATTTTGAATGTATTTGGAACAAATGTTCACTGCTAATGGTTGAAGTGACAGACTGATGTACTCGGGTGTTGGACCCTAGCGCCGTGATATGGTAGCAATATATTTGAGTTGGGGGGGGGGGGGATCAAATTAATACGTAATACCTTTTTTCTCCCTATCTTTCTATCTCCCCTTCCTTATCCTGTACTTTCTTAAATATATAATTGATAAAATATAGATTTCTCTAGATGTTTTGGATGTTTTCTGTAATTTAGATTTTTAGGTCACCTGAGACAAAGTCTCAAGTGACCTATTGCGATCGCCTTTTTGTCCGTCGTCGTCCGTCGTGCGTCCGTAAACAATTTACATTTTCGACTTCTTCTCCAAAACCACGGAACCAATTTCAATGAAATTTTGCAGGAACCTTCCATGGACAAAGGTCAACAAAAAGAGTTGCTGGTTTAGTCCTAAGCCCCCAGAGGCCTGAGGGGCGGGGCCAAAAAGGGGCAAATTGACTAAAATTTCAAAAATCTTCTTCTCAAGACCCAGGTATGATAGAATCAAATACTCTTCATAGAAGGAAAGGTCTTAAGGTGCTTTACCAAAATTGTGAATTTCTTGACCCTGGGGTCTCACGTTTTCCCCTGGGGAGGGGGTAAACTTTACTATAGTTTATATAGGGAAATCACATTTTGGACCAACATTTGCTTAATATCCATTGGAAGTAATTCAATTAAGGTTAGTATTATCAGTATTAGGTAGCAGTTTGATAGTATGCAAATATCAGCCCTGACTGACCCCCGGGGCTGAGGGGCGGGGCAAAAAAGGGTCAAATTGACTAAAATTTCAAAAATCTTTTTCTCAAGACCCAGATATGGTAGAATCAAATACTCTTCATAGATGGAAGGGTCTTAAGGTGCTTTACAAAAATTGTGAATTTCTTGACCCTGGGGTCTCACGTTTTCCCCTGGGGAGGGGGTAAACTTTACTATAGTTTATATAGGGAAATCACATTTTGGACCAACATTTGTTTAATTTCCATTGGAAGTAATTCAATTTAGGTTAGCATTATCAGTATTAGGTAGCAGTTTGATAG